TGGACCTTTTCAGTTTTAATATGTATGGCAGAATACAGGATCAGTTTCTCTGTGACACTTTGTTATAGTACATGCACATTTTACTGCTCATGCTGTTCCACAAATCTTTTTTCCAATGCATTCCCAGTCATCAGGTATAAGTTTACATCAATAAACATAAAATATTCATTTTAATGCATTGATTTTAGTATTCCACTTATACGTAGGTAGGCTATGTAGGCTCAATACAATGTTACAGAAATGGCACTGACCATCATTTTTTCAGGGGCAAGTAGCAGACGTCCCAGTCACCTCTGCAGCCTTGTGCTGCATTCATGTGGTGTCGAAGTAATCTGAAAAATTAGTTCCTGATCATATTTCATGGCTTACCTGATCCGTTTCCTTTGCTAATCGTTATCAACGCTGTTTAAATGCTAATCTGTAATATCCATGTAATTTCCACATCATAAATTAAAGTTCATGAACACAGCACAGTTTGAAGAACGACCATCCAAGGTGCAAGCGAATGCACACGTTATTCATTAGCACATACCGGACACTAAAAAGAGCCTTTCAGAAAGATTAATTTGTTCATTTTCACCCTTCACTAATCTGCATCCTGTAACAGTTTTTTGTAGATCAATGTGAAAAATGAAAGTTAATCATCTCCCTTTTGTCTGTTTCAGCCATTTGGTCATAACCAGTCACAGCAGGATATCCTTCAAGAAAACACCATATTAAAAGCCACTGAGGTGCAGTTTCCCCCCAAACCTGTGGTCACCACAGAAGCAAAGGTGTGGTACTCGTTTCTCTTGAACGGCTATGCATTTATTCAAGTGGGAGGGGCTTCTGGGGCATTTGTCTTTTTATTCTGTGAAGCACTTTGTGTTACAATTTATTGTATGGAAATGTGCTATATAAATAAAGTTTAATTGATTGATACTTATCCATAGTCAGTGTATGAGCTACAGTAGATGGCGGTTGGCACGTCCCCACTTTGGAGAAGCAGACAGGAGTACAGCCACGGAGGCTAAGCAATGTACTGCTGTGGATGCAGCAAAACGTATTTTAGCCTCCTAAAGAATCAGTAGAATCAGTATCAGTTTAACTGTGTGCTATATTATGCTTTACTTTGTGATCAGACAGCCCTCTCCAATGGGAAACTGTCTTTAAGCAACCCCCTTTTAAAAAAAATCTGAGCTGCCCCTTTAAATGCAGGGTGCCAAAGTAGATCAAAGTTTATCATACAAAGTAGTTGGGAATATATTATATTGGTAAAGCAAGTAGTCATAGAAAGGAAAAGGTTGAAGTTATTCCAGACATAAGGACTCTGTTTTTTCCTTTTCACAGGCCTTCATTCGACGTTGCCTGGCTTATCACAAGGAGGACCGCGTTGATGTGCTACAGTTGTCCAGTGACCCCTTCCTAATGCCCCACATTCGAAAAGCTCTGGCCAGCAGTGCACCTCAGGCTCCTCCTCTTCCCTCCACCTCCAGCTGCTACGGCAGCAGTGCCTCCAACTGAAGCAAGCTGAACGAAGCTGGGACAAAACCCCAGTGAGGACAAAGCCACGCTGAGACGTTAACACACTTGATGAAACTCCTCCTTTTGCTCTCGTGATTGTGAGAGAGCAGAGAGCATGATGGGATCTAGGGATCCTAAGAGTGTGAATGGAACCAAAATGACGGATGACGTGGTGATGTAGTAGTAAGTGTGCCCACCACCATCATCCAAGTGCTAAAAAATGAAGGGCCAGTCTGTGGGCTCAGTAGAACCCAAAGATTTGCCCATATGCATGCACTAACACACAAACTTTGGCTCATTTCAAGGGAGCTTTTTTACATGGCGAATTATAAAAGCACCCGAAAAATTGCACAACTGACGGGCGGAGAAGTTCGCCATGTGTGGAAGATCACCTGCCTGTACTCTGGAAGGTTTAGGGGAAGACGCATTAATGAAATTTCATCCCATTCTGCTTGAAATCATCATCTATCAAACTATTTTTCACAGCTAGAGTGGTAAATTTTAAATGTATATCCCTGTAGGTGTGAACCTGGGACTTTTTGGAAGGGCTCCTACAAGTAATAAGGAACGACCGATGACCAAAGTTCAAGGCCTGCCTTGCGGAAACGGCACCGTTAGAGGTTCATATGACTTGACAGAAGAGGGCTGATTCTGGAGAGAGTAACTGGTTTTGACCTATTTTAAATATTTGACTGGATAACTGGAAGTCAGCTTATTATTTTAATTAAGTCCATATTTTTCCATGAAATTTACCCCCTCTAATGTTTTGTTAACCTTACAGGGGGGCTGACTATGAGTGAGTGTTGTGATGAGAGTTAAAGATTCAACAGAAATAATAATTATGAAACCATTAAAAAACATTTGGTTAACTCGCTGGTGTCTTAACTTGATTCTGGAAAATCTGCTCGCAGATAATTTGCATTTATTGTAAATTATACAAAAATACTTGAAGGTTCACCGATGTTATTTATTTATTCATGAGTCTCATTACAAGTATTTATTCATTCAATTATTCATGCAGTTTATTTTGGCTATAAAATACCTTGAAAAGGTCTTAAAAAAGCATTAAATGTAAGTCTGATACCTGTAGACGCACTGTTACAGAGCCAGGCAGAGGTTCTCAATCTCCTTTGACATAATTTGACACAGCCTGTTTTTTTATACTTCTATAGTTCTATAGAAAAATGCATTAGAAGATATTAAACATGTATTAAAACTTTCTGCATCATCTTAACACAGAAAACTCACAGCAAGTAACACTGTCCTTAAACAAAAAATATCAAAGGCAAATCAAGAGGAACTAGAAAATACATTTCCTGCAGAAAATATGTGTGGATGCTGAATGCTGAAATTCAAAACCATGGCTGAAAATGCAGAAAGTTGCCAGAAACATCTGAAAATCCTTACAGAGCATAACGTTTTGGCATTTGAATGGTTTCTCTAGCTGAAGATATACAGTCATTTTAGTCGTAGCAGTAATTATGGCAATGGTAGTGGCTGATTTAAAGTACATTTCAGAACATACACACATATTGAGAAGTGTGAATTGAAGTGAAGTTTGCACACACAGGCTCAATAAAGCGTAGATTCTGATTCTTTTAAATAATATTCAGTTCATGAGGTTAGAATGTAAGCTATGAACTGTTTTAAATTTAAAAATTAAGATATTTAGTGAAAGATGAAGCCTTTGTAAAAAAAAAAAACAAAACCAAAAAAATTAGATATTTTCAACTACACAATTTGGAAGCTTTTTACCAAGTCCACGCAGTTGCTGAAGGCCCTCTGGTCTAAATATTTTTTTAAATTAAAACAAGACTACGACAAAATAAAAATGACAACATTTTGAGCCGTTTGTGCCACCACATAGTGACAAAACAATAAGATCAGTGATTGGTGAAATGGACATCCAAGTAATTTACTGTCCACTAGAAAACAAGCACTCCAGTATTTGGTGGTTAAAAAAAGCCCTCAGGTTTAGGGGTGACAGACAAATACTGTACTTATTGTGGTCTATTAAAGGATAGAGTTGCTGCTTATAGGTCTCACTTGGGGCTGGCATTATATTACATTTCACTACGTGATTATCATGATCAAAAGTTCAAAGTAACAAAACTATCACAACATATAGTATAGAACATTTGCTGTCAGTCAAAATGATGTTTAACTTTGTTTAGTGTGCATTTTGTCTTTTTTTTTTTGGCAAACGAGTTACTCAGAACATGAGGGTGGGTAGATACTGTATAGAGAGAGAGTCTGTAACCATAACTGTACGAAAAGAGCAATTACACTTAAAGGGATAGTTCACTTTTTTTGAAGTGGGATTGTACGATATACTTATCCATAGACAGTGTATTACATACAGTATTACTAAGTAATAAACTGCTGTGAAGGGGTCAGCAACAAAATGTATTTTAGCCACCTAAAAAAAATCAATATCACTTTAAGTGTATGCTGTATTGAGAGTATTTTCACCTCTTTACCTTGATGTTAGACAGTGATAATAAAGCCATTCTATCTCTCTACATAAATCCAGACTCCACTGAGAAAAACAGTAATTTAACATTGCTGATAATAGGAGCTGCTGGTCTACTGCAGCCTTGTTAAGTTGTTGTGTGTGTGTTATTGTGGGACTTAAGTCTTTAAAAGGGTTTATTCAGCTTCACCAAAGTCACAATAACACAAACTAACTATGTGATCAAAGCAGCAATAGACCGGCTGCTTTTGTGTTCAACAAGGTAAAATCACTGTTTTTCTCAATGGAGTCTGGTGGCTTTGATAAAAGCATAGATGGGGAACTGAAGCCGTTCACAGCTCTCCCAACAAAACAGGCTGTCTGATGGAACAGTAGTGATATATATATAAAAAAAAAAACACCTAAACTGATTTTTTTTTTTTTTTTTTTTTATTAGGTGGTTAAAAATGTTTTGTTACCAACCCCTCCGCAGCAGTATGTTGCTTAGCTTCTGTTGTACTCCAGCCTGCTTCCCTAAACTGGGGCTGTGCTGACTTACATCTACTGCCTGTATGTACTATATTGTCTATGGGTAAGTACCCCATATAACCACACTTATAAAAACTGAACTATCCCTGTAATGGATAGTGACAAGGCAAAAATAAGCAAGAATGGAAAGGGAAGGGTTTAAGAAGTGCTGGATTATTTACACGATACATATTTGTATTAACATGATATAGATGTTTTATTTTTAAATATCACACTTGTCATCAATACAGGTATATCACGACATGCCTACACTTCAGTCTTTACATGCTCATTTGCACATTATTTGTGTTTTGAACTAATAATCACAATGCACAGTTTGGTTTAGTGCCATGTGGACATGTTACAATGAGCAGGGCCCCAGGACAAAACCCTGCGTGGTGCCCCCAAAAGTCTTAAGCTGGCCCCGTGTAGTTTATGAATGTGTTTCAGTGTTTGCGATTACATCACTGCGCGGGTTGAATATGTCTAACCAATAAGAAGGTCTCCACACCAGACATTTTTTCACAGCATGAAATGTTTTATTAACTCAAATCCCACTGTTAAAATTATTCATCATATGTAAAACAATGTGATGGTGCACAGGATGAACACAAAGGAGCTGTATCAGTGAACCTCCAAACACATCAGTCTGCCTTCAACGTACGTGTGTAACTGGCGAACGTGATAACGACATCAGAGGTTAATGAAATACTGACACTTTAGTTGAATACTAAACAGTGATCATCTATTAAAAACCCGACCTTGACCGCAATGATCACATCATACTCTTACAGCTTATATAATCGGGACTTTGACAAACTTTTTCTCTCACTGTGGAGAAAGTTACACAGTGATTACAAAGGTGTGCAGTGCAACAGGAGAGCAAGGAAACCTTGAACTTGATAAAGTGGTTAGAAGTGAATTTGGTGAAGGGTTCTTTTAAATTACATTCTAGTCTTGAAGGAAGCGTGACGTCGTCTTAATGCAACGTCAGCTCTTCAGGAAAAAAGCCAGATATAAATTAGTGAAGCAGACGATAAAAAGAAAAAGAAGCACAGGTAGTTATCTCACCCTGCCTCCTTTATGGGACGTGACTACAACCTGGGACGTCTTAGCTGCTTCCAAAGTGGGCCCGCACTTTATAAACTCCACTCTGCAGCAGAACAGATACAAACTGTCCCCTCACTGTAACATGTAACAACAGACAATCTGGACTAAAGATCTAGATGCTTCTTTTGTACTGACGTTCAAAATGATGCACACGTAACCATTTCTTTTCCTTTGGCCAAGCAATAAGATTCACACGTAATCCATTCATCAGAGGGGGTCATGTGATCACGCAGTGTCACAAAGAACTGTCCACAGAGTCTATCTGTTGTAGAACTGTGAGGTGACCCAGGCCAGTCCCCACTTCAGGTTGGTGAGCATGAACTTGAGCGCCTTGGTCCACTGCTCCTCAGAGTTGAACTGGGTTTTGATGGAGTAGGAGCCGCCGCTGCCGCCTGTGTCCTCGATCTTTCCCTTCTCCACGTCCATCCTGAGACAAGACATACAACACCAGGTAAGCACCTGTACTGGTGTAAATGTAACAGCATGGTATCATGATAGTAGGCACATTAATGTAGATCTAAACAATTCTCAATCAGTACCTCTGTGTCCTAACCAGTGTTGGAATGTAACTAAGCACATTTACTACGTGCTGTGCTTAAAGGTCCAGGTCTTTAGTTTGTCATGACCTGAAAATAAGAACTGTCATGTTTTCATTAGCTTAAAATGAGCTGTTTATATCTGCGTGGGGAGCAGGCTCTCGACCACCATGTGTCTACAGTAGCCCAGAATGGACAAACCAGCACTGGCAACACTGGCTCTAGATAGGGCCATTCAAGCTTCCTTCAGTGTTTTACTGGTTTTACTTTTACTTGTAAGAGAGTAATTCTACATTTACTTAAAGGTACACTATACAGGATAGTCAGTTACCATTTGTAAACACGCTCACTGGCGACAGCGTAAGTAGAATCCAACCTCAAATTCACTCATATGGCGTTTTGCCTTGCTATATTTGCTTTTTTCCTGCACTCTCTTGGTGACCTACTGCTTACAGCACCTGGGGCTGTATTCACAAAGCTTCCTAGTGCTAAGAGTTGCTCCTAGTGATGAAATTCTAAGAAAATTCTCTTTCTTAGAATTTCTCTTCAAAGTTAAGACTAGTCTGTAAAGATGAAAGTTATTCACAGAGCATCTTAGACCTTAAAAGAGCTCCTAAGATGAAAAACTGTCAGGAGAAGAGAGGAGGACTTTAAAGAGGTTTAAGAGTTTCTTAATCAGAGGAGAAAATGGTGGAAACACAAAGAGGTTGGAGAAATGTTCTCCAAATGCTGGATGACAGTGAGTAAATGAAATGCTACAGATGAGACTGTGCATGGATAATATGTGTGGTCGATCTCATTAGGCATACACAAACATTTCCCATCTAACACAATTGCACTATAAACGCCAGAAATGAATGATCACAACACTTAAATATTTGGATTACTAAAAAAATGCAACAGTGCAGCAGCGATGACTGTCTAAACCTGATCACACTAACAATGACAACACTTTAACAGTCAGCAGTTCATTTCATTTCCACTGGGTGTCCACACCTTACAGGCTCACTAAGGGGCGTATCAGTGACTACGTTTACATGCACACCATATTCCGATTAAGGTCAATATTCTGGTTAAGGTAATATTCCGAATAAGGTGTTTATATGTGCTGCAGACACTGGAATATTCCGTTTACATGTTAATTGACATATTCCTGTGTTTCAGCGTATTCCAGAGAAGACCCCGGGCTCCTGGCCTACCAGAAACGCTCTTATTTAATGCAACACTCAACCTGTGGGGGGCAGCGATACGCCTATCTGTGGATGAAGGTGCAAAGCCAGTTGTGCTGTTCTCCCTGCTTGCTATTACCATAACAACACCGACAACCCAGGATTCCTTGCATATCGAACATGCGCAGACATAACTGAATACTCCGGTACAGGGCATTTTCCGATTAAGGTGAATACATGTCACAATATTCTGGTTAAAACAGGCATATGCCAGGGGTCTTATTCGGAATATTCTCCAACCTGAATATGACCTTAATCGGGTTATGCACGTGTTTACATGATTCATGTGCAACCGGAATATTGAGGATATTCTGAATAATACAGGAATATGGTGTGCGTGTAAACGTAGTCAGTGACAACCAATCACACCTGTTAAAAGCAAGCATCACACGTAGCAACAGAGTCGACCACACCTCTTCACTAAGGTAAAAGTTTCTGTCCCCTCCTTGCTCAGAGTAGCTCTGAGAACTTTCCTAAATCACTTCCAAGCTAGGACTCCTTACTAAAAGTCTATTAGCTAAGTTGGGAGCTCTCTGAGAGGATTTGTGATTTTGGCCCCTGGTCACTATCTTTCTATAAAGCTCCGACGTCATCTGAGCATTCTGCGGGTACACGACCTTAAACATTTACAACACAGAAAAATACACAGCCACATACTTGTAGTAAGTGACGATTGAGAAGAATTACTTCTGTATGAGTCTGTACATTGTTTTTAGGAAAATCCTACATAGTGTGTCTCTAAAAACTGCTTTTACATTTAATATTTTAAAGATATACTATGGGACAAACAATGTGTAGACCCTACAGTGTAATGTTAGTACTTTTATGTAAGTAAAGGACCTAGAGACTTCCTCCACCACTGCTGATAACCATATTACTGTATCAATGTCTGTGGTACATACTGTGTTACAGGGTTTAACCAAAGGCCATACAGTGGTATCTGCATAGTTGAATGAACAGAATTGTGTCATTCAAAAACATAACAATAACTTCAGTTTGACAGATTTTGAATTTGTGATGTTTTCACGCCACCACGGTCACGAGTTCAGTCTCTGTTATTCAGTCTGTTACAAAATGGATTTGATGGTGTGATGCAGGTGAAGCACCAGTCCAGTACAGAGTAAGTGTGGTGTAGTTTCTAAAGTAAACTAAGTAAAGAGTGAGGTATGACTTTAAGATGTGACTGTTGGTACTGTGAGCTTTATAGTGCCAGTTACACAACTAAGTACATTGGTAAATGTTGTACTGGAGGCCATGCTTTAAAAATTCAGAGGGCTATATAGCCAAAGTTTTCCCAAATGCTCTCCTCTCATTTGCCTCAGCAGCATAATCAAAGCAGACAATTCTCCAGCCCCTTTAGAATAAATCCAAGTAATGGTTTAGAATTTGCTTTCAAACTTCATAAATATTTACAGCTTCATCTGAAAAGGCTGTGACGATGCCCTAGTTTGTGAGCACGAAGAGAAATGTGCACATCGAGCTGGTGTGCAGGTATCTGACCTGTAGGGAAGGCAGAAGCCAGTGTCTCCTTTTTCCACCTCCTCTTTGAACTGCTGGACGCAATCCAGGAAGGCCACCATGGCATGGTCGAATTTATTGTCCCAGAAGAACCTCAGGCCACCCGAGCAGTACAGAGGAAGTTCCTGGACAAACACAAGACAGAGCAAAAGGGCAGGATAAGAGCCTGGAGGGGTGTTTAAATAGTGATGGGAGAGCTGGGCTTGTTAATACTGTATGTATTACCTTGGACTTGTCTGTCAGTGACTCTAAGTAGGAGTGGTTTCCATATGGGACCAGACGGTATCTGAGGAGAGAAGTGTTGTTTGAGCTTGTTTTTGCGCTGACTTGCAGAATATTTGTAATAAATCTCAACAGAGTGCTGCAGGGATGATGTTTGTTTGTAGGCAGATGTGGAAGTCAGTGTCGCCCGTGATCCCTCGACAAAAAGGAGATGGGATTTTTTGATGCATTCTGGATTATTGCAGAAAATAAGCTCTGTGGCAAACAGAATGTTTATGATACTTGAAGTGTAAATGAGCACATCGCTCCAGTTTCAGCCTCTTCACACTGGCTCCCAGTATGTTTTAGAATAGATTTTAAGATTTTACTGATTACTTTTATGGCTCTTCCTGGTACGCCAGGACGTACTTTGAGGTCCTCTGGCAGAGGTCTTTTGTCTGTTCCAGAGGTCTGCCTGAAAACTAAAGGGGACAGAGTGTTTGCTGTCAGGGCCCCGAGGCTCTGGAACAGTCTGCCCGAGGAAATCAGGTCGGCCGAGTCAGTGATGTCTTTTAAGTCCCTTCTTAAAACATACTTTTATCAGAGAGCCTTTTCTGATTTAACTTGAGTTTTAAGTTCATTTAGACTGTCTTTTTTCCCTTAGTTTTTATACCCTAAAGTGTTTTTATTGGCTCCTTTAAAAGTTGTCATTTTCATGTGTTCCGATTTAATTTTTGACATGTAAAGCACTTTGTAACTTTGAAAAGCACTTTACAAATAAAATAAAGACACGAAAGAAATGCAATCGCCAGAAGCTATATAGCACCTTTAAAAACAGAGTTAAGAATGTGCTTTGATAAACAAAACAAAAGCAGAAACAGGATAATCAGAGTGCAATATAACAACAGAAAGCCAAACAGTCCTACCAGACATAACCGAGACCAAATTAAAGTGAAGTTAAGATAAAGTTAAAACGAGAAGACAAAAAAACAGAAGCTGCAAAATGTCAATATAAATTAATAAATACATATAAAAACAATGAAACAAATAAAAAGACAAAATAAAAAAGATGGCATCATATAAAAGCAGGTCTATGAAGGGGAGTTTTAAGATGTAATTTAGAAAAAGTTGCTGATTGTGCAAACCTGATCTCAGGCAGGTCGCTCAATAGCAGAGGGGCCCTGATGTCAAAAGTGGTAACCTTTAAATTTAAATATCGACTCTGGAGCAGCCAAAAGGGCCCCGCCTGAGGATCTAATGCTGCCAACTGGCTCATATAGGGTCAACATTTCTGCTATGCAGCTTGGGGCCAGACCCAGACAAGCTTTAAAAGTGAACAGTAAAATCAACATCAATTCTAATGCGAACAGGGAGCCAACGGAGAGAAGCCAGGATTGTGATGATGTCATGTTGTCTGTTAAAACCAGTAAGAGGCCAAGCTGCTTGATTCTGAAGTAGTTGGAGGTGAGAGTTGTTAGCAACCGCCTTTTTAAAGACACAGAAAAGCTTCAAAATTCATGAGTGGCGTATTTACTGATGTATTTTATGCTGTAGAACAACACTTGTCCTTAAGCTCTTAAGACCTTATTTCAGGCCTCTGACCAAAAACCCATTCAAAAAACCCACTGACTTCAAGACGTGGGAACCAGGAGTGCTGCAATACAAAATAATATCTGCGTTTTATGAATCATCCCTTCAGCACTCTGTTGTGAGGTAACATAAAACAAACAACAACGTGTACCTCTGGAAGCGCAGCCCCATTTTGTTGGCGAGAGCATGCAGCAGCAGCACCGTCTGCCCCCAGGCTGCGTTGATCTCATTCCACTCCACCGGGACGCTGGGGAGTCGACCCAGACGGAAGTTGTTGATGGTACCGAACTGGCCGCTGTGCCTGTACAAGAACAGAGTCGATGGGCATTGATTTGTTTCTGTCCCAGAGGCCTGTATTAAATATTTGCTAAGTCACGGTTGATTGGTCAACAGAAAAACAAATTATTTATCCTTGAAATACACAACGTTAGTGAGTGTGTGTGTGTGTGTGTACCAGATGTGAAAGGTTGCATTGAAGACGTTGGTCTTCTTCAGTCGATCGAGCTGAATCTGGCAGTAGCGCATCTGATTGTCGACACTTTTAAGCTCATCATCCAGCTCCAGCTGCTGCCGTTTAAACTCGCTGTACTCCTTCTGGTACCTTTTGACACAAAGCAGTGGAAAAAGATGGAGCTGTTAGCTGCTGTCTCATTTAGCACGTAGCACCGTCACCTGTTTACACCACCCGTCCTTGTGTGACTCACTGTAGCTCCTCTGTGTCCAGCTGCTGAGAGTGGACCCTGCTCTGCGTCAGGTCCTGGGCCACAGCAGCCCTCTGCTCCTCCACTGCCTCCAGCTCCTGGACCAGAGCCTCCTCCTCCTCCTTCAGCTGGTGTAGCTCTGCCAGCAGAGTCTCCTCTTCCTCCACCTGCAGGTGTGACAGCAGCTCCAGACACTGCCTGAAGACACATTCACACACAGCACGTTATTACACATACAGCTCACAAGCATTTGTAATCAGCTGGTTCTTTGTTGTTCAGCGGCTCACTTATAATTCTGGCACTCGTTCTCTGTGATGTTGAGCTGCGTGTCCAGGTGGTCCAGCAGGGTGTCGGTACATTCCTCACACAGCGGGTGGTCCACATCAGTCTGGCCCGACATGATGTCAAACAGGTCACTAGTCACCTGTGTGTGATAGGATCAGAGTCAGCCTACTTGCCAAAATAACGTGATCAGAATAAACTCACTAAACAGAATTTACATTTCCAGCTGTGTGACAGTACACTTTACCTTCAGCCTGCGACTGAGATTCTCCATGGTGCCACCATCCGATGCTTCTCCGATCAGCGTGAAGCTGTTGGCGCTCTCTGTGGACATCATCCTGCGGGGTAAGATTAAGCAGCTCAGTCAACTTTGTGGGAGATGCTGCATTTGCAATCTATCCATACCTCATTTGACAGAGGAACATGTGATAAACAACAGATATGAATCATTATGAATTTTCCATTTCCTGAATGAAAAGACTTGAGCGCTCACCGTGCAGGAGGGATGTACTTTCTTGACACTCCATCTTGCTTGTTTTCTGCAAAGGTCTCCTGGAATGAAAATGTAATTCTAAGACTCAAACATGTTTACATTCCAAAATATGTTTGCACTGAAAAGCTTTTGTCTTACATCTTCTAAAAGGTTTGATTTTTCCAAAACAGAATCACAAGGTTATCCCATCACATCAGTTTACTGTATATAGGTGAAGTACATACAGAAACAAGGTTATTATAGTTAACTAAAACTAAACTATAAACTAAAACTAGGTATGACAAAAACACTTAAATTAACTCAAATAAAAAATAAAAACTAGACACTGGACTAATGAACTTGCCTCTGACTGCACACCAGAAAAAAAAAGTACTATAAGGAAGACACCTTCAACCTTTCAAAGAATTTGGTGTCTCTTTATTCTGCCTGGTTTGTATTAAACCAACCACAGGGATGAGACTCTTCTGGGACCAACCTTAACTTAAACTTTTATATTTCTTTTGTTATATAGTCATATTCATATAAATGCCAAAAAGGGAGAACCACATCTTCTCTTACTTTTCCAACTTTGATAATTTCTTATCCATTCATGAATTTATTAGTATATGTTTGCATGTCAAAATGTCCTTAGGTTTAGTTTTAGTACATCCACTCTGCTCTGTATATATTTATACATTATCTTTAATTTAATTTATTTTATTTATATTTGTGTGTGTGTGTGTGTGTTTTTTGTTCTTTTTTTCTTTTTTTCCAGTTTTTAGTTTTTGCTTCTTTTCTTGTGTTTTTGGATAAGTATCTTTGTCCTCTTACTTTTTCTTTTTAAAATAATATTTTCAAATACACAAATGGAAACCTGACAATTTTTTTAACTGCTCCTGCACTGTAATTTGAGCATCTGTCAATAAAAAAAAATCTTTGCAAAAATAAAAGAAGAAATAATTTTAAAAAAATATATACTTCATCAAAAAAATGAAACGACATTGTGTACTTACAAAACTAACTAAAATTATGATAAAAAAAAGACAGAAATTTATTCAAAGTTGGTCAATTTGGTCAAATTTGTCTACAGAAGCACGAGGAGGCACTGGTGTTTACTGGTGTTGTGTTTGTAGTGTAACACCTAATTATAATAATAATAATAATAATACTGTAAGTAATGAAACTTAACTAAAACTAAATATTTTTACCAATAAGAACTAACCTGAAATGAGCTGACTCACTCTGGAGACTAACTGAATCTAAATTGAACTGAAAACAATATTTAAAAACCAAATAAAAATAAAAACTAATGGAAAATACAAAACTATATTACACTCTGGTGTTTACCTTTTGAGCTAATTAATTTAAAATAAGCAGTAACATAGAATTTTATTAAATATGCTTTTGCTAACTAGCTAAATAATCCAGTATTACCATGTCATAACACTTCATCATAAATCATTCTCAAGTTTTGATTGTAGTTACTAATGAAGTTGTTGTAACGTCCTACGTGTAAGCATGACATAGGCAGAAATATTAGCTCCTTTGACACTAGTTTGATCTCATCAGTTTATTATCTTGACTAGAGGTGACACAGTTTTAGCACATAATTTTCATATGCTCATAGAGAGTGGATACAGAGGCTACACTGAACACGAATTCCAGTAATTTGCAGCCACATTCAGTGTAATCTTGTGCTCTATGTGTCCTGACAGTATACTGAAGGTGAGGAAGAGTTTGTAGACAATTCAGAGTCCCATCTTGAGACATATATACACAGTACATTCTGGTGTACCTACCTCTGGTGCTGTCTCCCCATCAGTGCTGTCAGCCTGTTTGCTGGGGGTCACTGTGACCAACGGAGCTGAGGTGGACACAGAGATACATGACTGATGGAGCAGTTTGAACACCACCACACTACATCTCCTAAACGTTACGTACATTTAACAGCACCTATGGCTGTCTCTTAGGGATATACATACCGATAAGTTCATGTATTGTGACCCGATCGAGCACATTGAAGGATGTGTCCAATTTGAGGGGCTGACAACACCGCTGACACACGAAACTGACCTGCATGGTTGTGCTCGACGACTTGGAGCCCTCCATCGTTAGCTACAGGAAGATGTGACAGAAAATAAGTGCACTCTGTAAATAACCAAAATGTCTCCAACGTCTGAAAGTTAACGTTAGAAACTGTAGCTTGCTAGCTAGTTAGCTGTTTGGCTAAACTGCGAGACAGCTGGTTAGCTGACATTAGCTTCGCAGCTAGCTTATATGTAACATACATCAGTGGTGTAAGTTATAAACATAAAATGGACTCACCGCCGCCTGTAGAGAATAACTAGTGCATAATAATCCAGATTGGAGCGCGCTGAAAAGTAGAAATCACTTCTAATGTACTTAGCGTGACGGTTGCATTTTGCACCTCGGGACTTCTCGTTCCACTTCCTTATTGTTGTTTACGGCGGATGTGACGTCAGTGTGAAAGTCACGAGGAAGATACACCTCAGGAGAAGCAGCTGGTACACAGTTTATATAAAGACTTTAATGTAATTTTTACTTTGGTTACCAGACAGGTATTTTGAGATTTTTTATACCAGGTGTAACTTCGTACAAAAAATAAATAAATAAATAAATAATAAAAAGAAATAATAATAGTATAGTAAGTATAATAATTTATACATCTATCGAGGAACAATTTTTGTTAATTGTTCATTAGCCAAATAATGTTTTCACAAATGCACATATTATTTGAAAATTTCTGTTTTTTTGATTTATTTATTTTTTAGTGTTAATGAGAGAAATTAAAGCTACACCAAAGCACGTTGGTTTTCTATGAAACAAAAACTAATGGCTAATAACAGCTTTTTATTCATTTTTCTACTGATGCCTCTGAAAATGTCAGAGACAGCTGACTGAATGACAAAACACTGCTGTACTGCTATATTTCGGAGTCTCCAGGCCTGTACCGTTGAAACTTCGCCCTTTACTTCACTGATGATCTCTGTTTCCTTGCACCTTTTTCATGCAAACAACCCAGAAAGGATGTTTGAAATGATGTATAAATTTGAATTAGTCCAATGAATTAGTCACATTTTTGTTTTTACATAATTGTAACATGAGAAAATTTTTCTCCAGGGAGCAATAACGTAATTCCAGTGTTGGGAGGGTTACTTTTTGAAATGTAATATGTTACAGATTACTAGTTACCCAATTAAAAATGTAATAAGTAGTGTTACTATTTTAATTACTTCATGACAGTAATGTAACCGATTACATTTGATTACTTTTAACATGTTTTAAAAGAGACCATCCCTGCACTGTGTAAAGGTGCAAAGCAACAGAATACATGTTATATTCTACAAATAAGCTTATAACTGTGATTTCATCACATATTGTTTTTTCTCAGTAACTGGAATTTATTACAAATACATTTGTTTATTATGTAATTTAATTACATGTCACTAATTACATGTTTGTTTGTTTTTATCCCTAGTGATTTGGATCTGACATTAAATAAAAATGGTTATCGCTAAAAATTAATGACATTCCAACATTTGATATCTCTAACATTTTTTGATATAGATCATTTGAATTTATTTGTCTCCAATATGACAAATATAATCTTACTTTTGGGTAAATAGGCTACCACATTCATTGTAGCAAGTGCAGGAATAGTAAGCCCTCCTTTAACTGGCTTATAAATGACTTTAAGCTGATTTTCTCATCACTGAAAAAATAAACTTTAGCAGAACTGCAAGAAAGATGAAGACTTTCTCAATTCTTGTTGTTTTGAATTATAGTCCTTGTTTGGATCTCGATGTTTTTGCTCCAGATTGTTGATTTTTTATGCCTGGTATTTTAATTTATTTACTTACTTTTGATCATTCTTATTTATTCATATATATATATATATATATATACAGTACAGGCCAAAAGTTTGGACACACCTTCTCATTCAATGCGTTTTCTTTATTTTTATGACTATTTACATTGTAGATTCTCACTGAAGGCATCAAAACTATGAATGAACACATGTGGAGTTATGTACTTAACAAAAAAAGGTGAAATAACTGAAAACATGTTTTATATTCTAGTTTCTTCAAAATAGCCACCCTTTGCTCTGATTACTGCTTTGCACACTCTTGGCATTCTCTCCATGAGCTTCAAGAGGTAGTCACCTGAAATGGTTT